TGAGCTAACTTAATTTCTAGGCATTTGATTTTATTTGTAGTTATTTTAAACAGAATTTCTTTCTTGATTTCTTAGATTGTTTGCTGTGGGCATACAGAAATGATACTACTGATTTTTCTATGTTTATTTTGTATCCTGCAACCTTACTGAATTTATTAGTTCTAACATTTTTTTTTCTGGAGTTTTTAGGTTTTTCCAAAATAAGATCATACTATCTGCAAACAAAAATATAGTATGAAAGTTGGACTTTCATATTGTATTGAATAACAGTGGTGAAAGTGAGTATCCTTGTGTTCCAGATCTTTGAGGAGAGGCTTCAATTTTTCCCCATTTAGAATAGACTATCTGAGGGTCTGTCATGTATGCCTTTTGTTATGTTGAGGTATGTTCCTTCCATACCCTGTTTTTTTAGGGTTTTTATCATAAAAGGATGTTGGGTCGGGCACGGTGGCTCAAGCCTGTAATCCCAACACTTTGGGAGGCCAAGGCGGGTGGATCACGAGGTCAGGAGTTTCAGACCAGTCTAGCCAACAAGGTGAAACCCCGCCTCTACTAAAAATAAAAAATTTAGCTGGGCGTGGTGGCACATGTCTGTAATCCCAGCTATTTGGCAGGCTGATGCAGGAGAATTGCTTGAACCTGGGAAGTGTAGGTTTCAGTGAGCCAAGATTGCGCCACTGCACTCCAGCCTGTGTGAAAGAGCAAGACTCTGTCATAAATAAATAGATGTTGAACTTTAGCAAATGCTTTCTTAGCATCAATTGAAATGATCATATGGTTTTTTTCCTTCATTCTGTTGATACGATGTATCACATTGATTGATTTGCATATGTTAAACCATGTTTGCATCCCAAGGGTGAAACCCCCATGGTCGTGACGAATGAACTTTTTAATGTGTTGTTGAATTTGATTTGCTAATATTTTGTTAAGAATATTTTTCATCAGTATTCAAGGATACTGGCATGTAATTTGTTTTTTGATGCATCTTCTGTTTGAGTTTATATTAAGATAAATTTGGCAGACGTAGAACAAGTTTGGGAGTATTCCCTCCTCCTCTACTTTTTAGAATAATTTGAATAGGATTGATATTAGTTCCTTTTTAAACATTTGGTAAAATTCAGCCGTGAAACCATTGGGTCTGGGCTTTTCTTTGCTGAGAGACTGTTATGGCTTTGATATCATTACTTGTTATTTGGTCTGTTTAGTTTTGGTTTCTTCATGGTTCAATCTTGGTAAATTGTATGGGTCTAGAGATTTATTCATTTCTTACAGGTTTTTCAGTTTATTGGCATATAGCTGTTCACAGTACCCTCTAACTCTCCTTTGAATTTCTGCAGTATTTCTTGTAATGATTCCTTTCAATCTCTAATTTTATTTGGGTCTTCTTTCTGTTTTGATGTTTTACTTGAGTCTAGCAAAAGGTTTGTTAATTTTATCTTTTTCAAAAAGAAAAAAAATACTGTTTATTTTGTCAATCTTTTGTATTTTCCTCATTTCAATTTCATTTATGCACTGATATTTATTATTTTTTAAATTCTATTATGTCTGGATTTTGAAGGCTCTTGCTTTCCTTTTTAAGATAAATTGTTAGGTGTTTTAAGTTTTTTTCTACTTTTTTTTAAATGTAGAAACCTATAGCTAAAAACTCTTCTTGTATTACCACTTTCACTATATCCCATAGGTTTTGGTATGTTGCATGTTCATTATTATTTGTTTCAAGAATTTTTTTAAGTGCTTTAAGTTCTGGGGTACATGTGCGGATCTTGCAGGATTGTTGCATAGGTACACACATGCCATGATGGTTTGCTGTCTGCATCATGCCGTCACCTACATCAGGCATTTCTCCCAGTGTTACACCTTCCCAACTTCACTCCCTAGCCCCCAACTCCTAACAAACCCCAGTGTGTGAAATTTCCCTCCCTGTGTCCCTTTGTCCTCATTGTTCATCACCCGCCTGTGAGTAAGAACATGTGGTGTTTGGTTTTCTGTTCTTGTGTCAGTTTGCTGAGAGTGATTGTTTCCAGATTCATCCATGTTCCTGCAAAGGATATGAACTCATCATTTTTTATGGCTGCATAGTATTCCATGGTGTATATGTGCCACATTCTCTTTGTCCAGTCTATCATTGATGGGCTTTTGGGTTAGTTCCAGGTCTTTGCTATTGTAAAGAGTGCCACAATGAACATATGTGTGCTTGCATCTTTATAATAGAATAATTTATAATCCTTTGGTTATAAATCTAGTAATGGGATTGCTGGGTCAAATGGAATTTCTATTTCTAGATCCTTGAGGAATCTCCACAGTCTTCTACAATGGTTGAACTAAATTAAACTCCCACCAACAGTGTGAAAGTGTTCCCATTTCTCCATATCCTCTCCAAAATCTGTTGTCTCCAGATTTTTTAATGATTACCATTTAGCTGGCATGAGATGGTATCTCCATATGGTTTTGATTTGCATTTCTCTAATGACAAGTAATGATGAGCATTTTTTCATTTGTTTGTCAGCCTCATAAATGTCTTTTTGAAGTGTCTGTTCATATCTTTTGCCCACTTTGAATGGGTTTGGTTTTTTCTTATAAATCTGCTTAGTTCTTTGTAGATTCTGGATATTAGCCCTTTGTCAGATGGGGAGATTGCAAAAATTTTTTCCTATTCTGTTGGTTGCTGATTCACACTGTTGAGAGTTTCTTTTGCTGTGCAGAAACTCTTAAGTTTATTTAGATCCCATTTGTCTATCTTGGCTTTTATTGCCATTGCTTTTGGTGTTTTAGTCATGAAGTCTTTGCCTATGCCTATGTCCTGAATGGTTTTGCCTAGGTTTCTTCTAGGGTTTTTATGGTGTTAGGTCTTATATTTAAATCTTTAATCCATCTGGAGTTAATTTCAGTGTAAGGAGGTCCAGTTTCAGCTTTCTGAACATGGCTAGCCAGTTTTCCCAACACCATTTTTTATTGTTTAATAATAATAAATGGATGCGTGGCATTACTTCCAAGGACTCTGTTCTGTTTCATTGGTCTATAACTGTTAATGTACCAGTACCATGCAGTTTTGATTACTGTAGCTGTGTGGTATAGTTTGAAGTCAGGCCAAGTGATGCATCCAGCTTTGTTCTTTTTGCTCAGGATTGTTTTGGCTATGTGGGCTCTCTTTTGGTTCCATATGAAGTTTAGAGTGATTTTTTTCAGTTCTGTGAAGAAGGTCATTGGTAGCTTGATGGGGATAGTGTTGAATCTATAAATAACTTTGTGCACAATGGCCAGTTTCACGATATTGATTCTTCCTAACCAGGAGCATAGAATGTTTATCCATCTGTTTGTGTCCTCTCTTATTTTCTTGAGCAGTGGTTCATAGTTCTCCTTGAAGAAGTCCTTCACATCCTTTGTTAGTTGTATTCCTAGGTATTTTATTCTCTTTGTAGCAATTGTGAATGGGAGTTTGCTAATGATTTGGCTCTCTATCTGTTATCGGTGTATATGAGTGCTTGTGATTTTTGCACATTGATTTTGTATCCTGAGACTTTGCTGAAGTTGCTTATCAGTTTAAGGGAATTTTGTGCTGAGACAATACAGTCTTCTAAATATACAATCATGTAGTCCACAAATAGAGACAGTTTGACTTCCTCTTTTCCTAAATGAATACCCTTTATTTCTTTTTCTTACCTGATTGCTCTGGCTAGAACTTCCAATACTATATTGAATAGGAATGGTGAGGGAGGGCTTCCTTGTCTAGTGCCAGATTTCAAAGGGAATGTTTCCAGTTTTTGGCAATTCAGTATGAGACCGGCTGTAGGTTTGTTGCAAATAACTTTTATTATTTTGAGATACGTTCCGTCAATATCTAGTTTATTGAGAATTTTTAGCATAAAGCGCTGTTGAATTTTGTCAAAGGCCTTCTCTTCATGTATTGAGATGATCCTGTGGCTTTAGTATTTGATTCTGTTAATGTGATGGGTTACATTTATAGATTTGCATATGTTCACCCAGCCTTGCATCCTTGGGATGAAGCCTTCTTGATCGTGATGGATACGCTTTTTGATGTGCGGTTGCATTTGGTTTGCCAGTATTTTATTGAAGATTTTTGCATCAATGTTCATCATGAAGTTTCTTTTTTTTAATTGTGTCTCTGCCAGGTTTCAGTATCAGGATGATGTTGTCTCATAAAATGATTTAGGGAGGATTCCCTCTTTTTGGTATTGTTTGGAATCGTTTCAGAAGTAATGGTACCAGCTTCTCTTTTTATATCTGGTAGAATTCAGATCTAAACCCATCCGGCCCTGTAGTTTTTTGGTTGGTAGGCTATTGATTGCTGCCTCAACTTCAGACCTTGTTATTGGTCTATTCAGGGTTTCAACTTCTTCCTGGTTTAGTCTTGGGATGGTGTAAGTGTCCAGGAATGTATCCATTTTTTCCAGGTTTACTGGTTTATGCACATAGAGTTGTTTGTACTAATCTCTGATGGTAGTTTGTATTTCTGTGGAATCAGTGGTGATATCCCCTTTGTCATTTTTTATTGCATCTATTTTGTTGACCTTTTCAAAAAACCAGCTCCTGGATTTATTGATTTTCTTGAAGGGTTTTTTTGTATCTCTGTCTCCTTCAGTTCTGCTCTAATCATAGTTATTTCTTGTCTTCTGCTAGCTTTTGGATTTGTTTGATGTTGCTCCTCTAGCTCTTTCAATTTTGATGATACGATGTGGATTTTAGATCTTTCCTCACTTCTCATGTGGGCATTTATTGGTATAACTTTCCCTCTAGACACTGCTTTAAATGTTTCCCAGAGACTCTGGTATGTGTGTTTTTGTTCTCATTGGTTTCAAACGACATCTTTATTTCTGCCTTCATTTCATTTCTTTTTTCCAGGCATCACTCAGAAGTAAGTTGTTCAGTTTCCAAATTGTTGTGTGGTTTTGGGTGAGTTTCTTAATCCTGAGTTCTAATTTGATTGCACTGTGGTCTAAGAGACTGTTTGTTTTAATTTCTGTTCTTCTGAAGATGCGGAGGAGTGATTTACTTCCAATTGTGTGGTCAGTTTTAGAGTAAATGCGATGTGGTATGGAGAAGAATGTGTAGTCTTTGGATTTGAAGTGGAGAGTTCTGTAGATGTCTATTACATTTTCTTGGTCCATATCTCAGTTCAAGTCTTGGATATCCTTGTTGATTTTCTGTCTGTTGATCTAATATTGACAATGGAGTTTTAAAGTCTCCCACTATTATTGTGTGGGAGTCTAAGTCTCTTTGTAGGTCATTAAGAACTTGCGTTATGTATCTGGGTGCTCCTGTATTGAGTACATGCATATTTAGGATAGTTAGCTCTTCCTGTTGCATTGATCATTTTGCCATTATGTAATTCCCTTGTCTCTTTTGATCTTTGTTGGTTTAAAGTCCATTTTATCAGAGACTAGGATTGCAACCCCTTTTTTCTCTCCCCCCCTCTCTCTATTTGCTTGGTAAATCTTATTCCATCCCTTTGAGTCTATATGTGTCTTTGCATGTGACTTGGGTCTCCTGAATACAGCACATTGATGGATCTTGACTTTTTATCCAGTTTGCCAGTCTGTGACTTTAGATTGGGGCATTTAGGCCATTTACATTTAATGTTAATATTTTTATCAAACTGTCATTTTGTTTTGACTATTAGTTGACACAGTTTCCTCATTGCATCATTGGTCTTTACCATTTGGTACATTTTCGCAGCGGCTAGTACTAGTTGTTCCTTTCCATGTTTAGTGTTTCCTTCAGAAGCTCTTGTAAGGCAGGTCTGTTGGTGACAAAATCTCTCAGCAACTGCTTGTCCATAAAGGATTTTATTTCTTCTTCACGTATGCAGCTTAGTTTGGCTGGATATAAAATTCTGGGTTGAAAGTCCTTTTCTTTAAGGATGTTGAATATTGGCCCTCACTTTCTTCTGGCTTGTAGGGTTTCTGTTGAGAGATCCACTGTGAGTCTGACGGGCTTCCCTTTGTGGGTGACCCGACCTTTCTCTCTGACTGCCTTTAACATTTTGACCTTCATTTCAACCCTGGTGAATCTGACAATTATGTGCCTTGGGGTTGGTCTTCTTCAGGAATATCTTTGTGGTGTTAAATTTACATTTAATGTTAATATTTTTATCAAACTGTCATTTTGTTGGTCTTCTTCAGGAATATCTTTATGGTGTTCTCTGTATTTCTTGGATTTGAATGTTGGTTTGCCTTGCTAGGTTGGGGATGTTCTTCTTGATAATAATATCCTGAAGAGTGTTTTCCAGTTTGGCTTCTTTCTCCTCATCACTTTCTGGAACTCTGGTCAAATGCAGATTTGGTCTTTTCACATAATCCCATAATTCTTGGAGGCTTTGTTCATTTCTTTTCACTCTTTTTTCTCTAATCTTGCCTTCTTGCTTTATTTAACTGAGTTGACCTTCAATCTCTGATATCTTTTCTACTGCTTGATTGACTTGGCTGTTGAAAATTGTATATGCTTCACAAAGGTCTCATGCTGTTTTTTCAGCTCCATCAAGTCTTTTATGTTCTTCTTTAAGCTGGCTATTATAGTTAGCATTTCATCTAACCTTTTTTCAAGGTTTTAGTTTCTTTGCGTTGGGTTCAAACATGTTCATTTAGCTCAGAGAAGTTTGTTATTACCCACCTTTTGAAGTCTTCTTCTGTCAATTTGTCAAACTCATTCTCCATCCTGTTTTGTTCCCTTGATGGTGAGGAATGTAATCCCTTGGAGGAGGAGAGGTTTTCTGGGTTTTGGTGAGTTCATCATTTTTTTGCTGGTTTCTTCCCAACTTTGTGGATTTATCTACATTTGATCTTCAAAGTTGGTGATTTTGGATGTGGTCTCTGAGCGGACATGCTTTCTTTTGGTTTTGAAGCTATTTCTTTTTGTTTTTTACTTTTCCTTCTAACAATCAGGTCCCTCTGTTGTAGGACTTCTGGAAGTTTTCTCCAGATCTTGCTTGCCTGAGATCAGCCATGGTGGGGGTGGGTGCAGAATAGCAGGGATTGCTGCATGATATTTTCTTTGGTAGCTTCATCCCAGAAGTGTGCCTGCCAGATGTCAGCCAGAGCTCTCCTGTATGAGGTGTCTTTTTGGTTATACAGGGGTCAGGGTTCTGCTTGAGGAGGCAATCTGTCCCTTGTCTGCCTGCAGCCATGCTGCTGGGCTGTCACAAACTCAGTCCAGATGCTGTGTAAGCTTCCTCTGGCTTGTGTTTACACAGGTATGTTTAGATGTGGTTCAGCAATGGCAGATGCCCTTCCTCCCTCCAAGCTTGATCATTCCAGGTTGATCTTGAATGGATGTGCTGACTGCAAAACTCTCCAGTGAGAGGGTTTCAGTCTGCTGGTCTTTGTGAGGGTGAGACCTGCCCAGTGGTATCACCTGTCTCCCTGCTTTCAGCTTCCCCTCTTTCTAGGGAGTGGGTAACTCCATTCTGCAGGCGCTCTTGGTGTTATCAAATGGTGCCATCTGGAGCTGCCGCTCAGATCTGTGCTGGTGACTTGCAGCACTTTTCAGCCCAGCAGGAATCTCCTGGTCTGTGAGTTGCAGAGACAATGAGAGAAGCACAGTATCTGAGCTGGAGTGCTGGGGTGGGGGGCAAAGTCCCTGATCTTCTGGTCAATTGCACTTCCCAGGTGAGGCAGCACCCTGCCCTGCCTCGGTTTGCCCTCCTTGGGATACACCCACTGTCCAACCAGTCTTATTGAAATGAACCTGGTAACTCAGTTGGAAATGTGGAGATCACTCAGCTTCTGTCTCTCTCTCACTGGGAACTTGCTCTCCAGAGGTGTTCCTATTCTGCCATCTTGGTGGAATCTCACCTGTTTCAAGAAATGTTTTAATTTTCTTTTTAATTTTTATTGTCACTCTGGTCTTTCAACATAATTTCTACATGCCTGTATGATTTTAAGAATTTCTAGTTATATTCAATTGTCATAATTTCAATTATTATATTGTTTAATTGGCAAACTTACATTATGTAACAACCTTCTTTGTCTCTTTTTACAGTTTTTGTCTTTAAACATATTTTTTTCTTCTGCTGTAAGTCTAGCTATTCTGGCTTTTTTATTTATGTTCATTGGCCTATAATATCTTTTGCCAACCCTTTATTTTTATTCTATGTGTGTCTTTATTGATGAATTGTAGGGTTTTTTTAGGCAACAAACCAATGGTCTTTTACAAAATTTATTTAACCACTCCATGTCTTTTTATTTGATGTTGCCATTTTTAAAAAGGTTTCCTTCAGGGACCAAATAACTAAATAGCAATACACTGTGCTTAACAATGTCTGTACACCTCAATAACAAATGGTAGTATCTTTTATATTTAACATGACTATGTAATTATAACCAAAATAGTTTAATTCCAAAATCAAACTTTGAGAGAAGTCAGGAGGAAAAAACAAAGAGTCTGTTTTGGTGTAATATTTTGGTTTTTGCTTAAGGATTTTTGGTGGAGTCATTTACAAATCAAATCAAAACACATTTTATAGGCAATGCTAATTTGATATAGTCTAAAATAACCTAATTTACAATGAATAGGGGGAAATGATTCTGTGGCTAAATATTTTCCACAGTAGTTTGCTTGCATTTAATTACAACAACTTGCAAAATATACAGAACATAATCACAAACTGACTCATACGCTCTTTTGAACTTCAAGTCTCAAAGAAGGATATGCTTAGTTTGTCTATTTTATAATTAAAAAAAAAAAAAGAGAATGAAAGACTTATTCAATTTTGGTCTCTGAAATTTGGTATTTTCAAATTTTATATCTCATCTGCTTTCCCTAACTTTCCAGAAAAACAAATGCTAATATAGTTCCTTGAGCTCTTCTTAACACCCTCAATTGTCTTCAGAAAGGGTTTTCATATTGATTGACATAACATTTTTGATGAATATTTTATGCATTAAATAACCATATTAAATTCTGATTGCCTATGACACAATGTTGACATTAGCTTCTCTTTTTAAAAGAAATAATCCATTAAGGAAAACACTGCAGAATCGTAATAAACTTGTGTGAAAAATCCAAAACAATTTCCCATATCATAAACAATGTCATTTTAAGCACATTAGAAAAGATTAATTTTTTTTTCAGCTATTTCAGGATTCTGGTTCATGCATCATATTTTCATCAGTTTACAATTTTCAATAGATTTCCAAATCTTAGAACATTCAATATTTATTCTATGACTTAGAAAACAACCAATACCCAGTTCTATATGAGGGAATTAATAATTCTAAATTTTAGAAAGGTAATATCAAACTCAGAAAAACTAACCAATTTCTATGTATTCCTCATGCCATTAAATAGCCAGATACTAATGGAAACAAAATTTGCACACACATCCATGTACACTTAGTCACACACACACGCAAGCATCATTTTTTATTAACTCAACCAGTTATTTATTGTCAGATAACTGGTGAATTAAACATTGTATGTAGCTAAATCTCCCTTTTGATCAGGTTATATTATTACAAGTCTCATTGTACACTCAATTCAAAATTCCAGCTCATCTAAACATATATGAATATAGCATTGTAATGTTTATATATATATATAATAGATTAAAAGCTTTATATTATACAAGTCTCTCATAGCACATTATACATTTTTTCTTTCTTCCATAGGTGAAGTAGAAATGTATAAGTTCGCCTGACCCCATTAGACTGATTGTGACATATAAGGTGAGTTATCGAAAGTCACACATCAGATACTCACAACTACCTTATATATGCAGCATCTGTAGAATGGATCAATAATACTGAGTTTATAAGGGCTTAAAACTGTGTCTGTCACATAGCAACTCATCCCTTAATAAATAGTAAATGCTCTATTAAGAAGACAGGTGAGTCACTATTGCCAAGGGTCTCCAACAAGATCCAGGACTTATTTGCACATATAAAGCTTACCTTTTGAAGTAGTTTGCTGAAAAGGACCTCAGAATTATTCATGCAATCTTTATAACAACTCCTCTATGAAGTAGTTGCTATTATTAGTCACATTTCACACATGAGGATACTAAGTCACAGGGTCAAGTCACTGGCTAATTTGTTACAGTTTATAAAACAAGGATTTGAAGCTAAGTAGTTTGATTCAATGGCAAGGACAGTAAAGCCCTGCATTATATTGTCTTAAGAATATAGGAGATTTCCAGAAAGATGGCTGAATAAAAACCAACAGCTCCAGTG